ATTTGAATTAATATGCATTATCATTATTTTATAATATAAATTTGCTGAAAATAACTTAAAATTAAAAACACTTCTTCACCAAGTAAACTTTTTCCATTTTTGTTTCTTTTTCTTATGAAATATGTCAATTGGTTGAAACTCTTAATAGAATAGAGTGATGAAAAGGGGAATAAGGATTCAAAACTCTTATCAACATCAGCATCTGCTCAGCCAGTTCTTCCGCACCCACCATCTTCAAATTAAAAGAAAATTTTTCTGGTATTATGTATGGGCTAAAGTATGAGTCCCGTTGCCGTTGGTACCAGTTTTTGGACTTAGGTCTACAGCAGTGGCGGGGAAAGATTTGTGCATTAAAACTGCCTAGGGCTATAATTTAGGAAACGAAACCAGAGTCCAAATTCATGCTTGGGCCCGAAAACCCATTCTCTTAATCGCAGAAATTCTGAAACTGGACTATGTGCAGCCCAACTCAGATCCCTCATATTATTATGTTTGGAAACAAGCCCGATACTGTTACTTCTAAGGCCCAGATCATTAATTGAGACAAAAACCAAGAGTGGAAATTAAAATAAGTTGGTGATTCAACTTATTTACCTTTTTTATAAACTTGTTATATAATTTAGACTACTCCAAACCATACAATTAAAATACTTAGGTGGGCGGGGACCCTATTCTCTATCTCTCTTTTTTTGGTTATTAAAACTATTTTAAGAGTTTTTTTAATCTTCCTGTAAGAATTATTTAAATAAAACTTTTATATAAATGCTAAAATAATCTAAATAAAATTAAAAATAACAGATAAAAATTGAGATTATTTGCTTAGAATTAAAATATTAGAGTTGCAACACAAATTTGAAGTAACTAATAATACAATACAAAAATTAAAACAAAACATTTGAGATCGAGATAATTAAATCAAAACGTAAAACATTGTAACTAATTTCGGTTAAAAAAAATGACAACTTTGCAATGGACCCATAGAAAAGACACAAGGACCATGCATATTTCAGAGTCACCCTCCGCACCAGGACCTGCTAATTGGGGGCGGCCGGTCAAAGTCTTACTCAATTACCTGAAGCAAATGGCAGAAAGAAATGAAGTCAAGAGTATGGTGAGAATGATAGCTTTAAAGCAATTCAAGTGAAAGACAAATTTCAAGTTATTCATTATGTCATTATTATAAGAAACTCTGTAAAGAAAATATTGCTACAAAAAAATAAAGTAATTTATTGTGTCATTATAAACAACTCTGTAGAGAAAAGTAGATGGGCTGATTGGGCAGTTCGACATAAGGAACCAGTTAATGAATTCCAAAGCAAACAGAGTAATGTACCAGAAGCAAAATGGTTAGATATAATGACTAGAAACAAAAGCAAAATCGTAAGATAAAGGAAGTGCAATCATAAAAAGATATGAAGTATTACCGTTGCAGTACATCCTTACGTCCTCCCTTCCATATCATCACCTTGGACCAGATAAAACAGATGGAATCAATGTAGCTGTATCAGTTTGATGTCCGAGAGTTTCCACTTCAGCCGGTGCTGGTGGGTTTGAGAAATTGTATTTGTTTTCATCATCCATTTTGCCTTCTAGGAAATTCACCACGGTGGACATGGAAGGCCTCCTAGCATATTCAACTTGCAAACAACATGCAGCAACTTTCATCATCTCCACAACCTCTGCCGCATGTGATTGCATCTCCTCATTGTACTTATCCACTAGATCCAGGAGTTCACCATCCTCAGACATTCTCTTGAAAAGGCTTACCAAATGGGCATCCTCTTCGGGCAACGATCGATCAACATTTTTTCTGCCACATAAAATTTCCAGAACAACAATGCCAAAACTGTATACATCTACTTTTTCTGTGATTGTTGAGTTCAACCATTCTGGGGCCATATAACCTGGCGTTCCCCTCATTGTTGTCACAATTTGGCTTTGCTCTCTCCCTACTAGCTTAGACAACCCGAAATCAGAAACCCTGGCATTGAAATTTTCATCCAAGAGGATGTTTTGGGGTTTGATATCCAAGTGAACTATTTTCTGCTTGCATCCTTCATGGAGATATGTTAGCCCCTTGGCTATGTCTAGAATGATCTTCCTTCTACATTGCCAACCAAGAACAAGCAGTTTGTCTCTGCAGTAGATCCATTGATCCAATGACCCGTTACACATGTACTCATAAACCAAATGCATGTGAAGTTTCTCAGCACAAAACCCAACCAATCCTACTAAATTGAAATGGTGAATGCTTCCTATGGTCTCAACCTCAGCTATAAATGACTTCTTTACGGGACCAAAACCATCCAAGCACTTTACTGCAACTTGAGTACCATCAGGTCATGTTCCTTGAAAAACACAACCAAATCCTCCCTCGCCAAGCTTGTTGCTGAAGTTATTGGTTATATCCTTTAACTCTTCATAAGAGAATCTCGTGGATGTTCCTGAGATGTGGCCCAGATAATCCTCCTCAGCATCCTTTGGATCCTTTTTAATTTGTAGCAAAAGGAAAGTGCAGATAAGAAGCACACTAAAAGTGGCCCCAAGAGTGGATCCAAGTATTACTCCTACATTCTGTCTCCTCTTTCTAACAGTTGAAGAACTCACCTTTAAAAATACAGATATATTGTAAAATGTATCCACTTCTCTCTTAAATGAAAAAGCTTCAGATCCAAGCAAGCAATAGCCAGATGATGAGCTAAAATCAAATCGAAAAGCCGCATACTTGCAAGAGCAGTTGTTTAAACAAGCTTGCTTGCAGCTCTCTATGTCTGTTATATAGCAATTATCCCGCCAAAAGACAGTGAAGGAAGAAACATTATTGATCTCAAAAAGATGAGATTTACAAGATATTGGTACATATGGAGAACACCCAAGATTTATTAGCTTGAAGTGCGTTGTTCCGTTTTCATCTGGTTCTGGGCAATTGCATCCACTTGCTGAACAAATTCCATATTTTCCGCACGCCAGTGGGTAATCACATCAGCGAACTTGGTACTCAAACAAATCATAGACTTCCTTCCATTCTGATTCTACCCACCTAAAGGACCTTAAGTGCCCATCAGAGCCTAATTGTATAAAACTAACGCCCAATCCTAGAGAAAGGCCATTACCAAGACTTGTGTTAGTGAATTCAACATAAAACTGCCCTGTTTTGCTTTTTAATGGATAACTATGGGAAACGTAATAGACTAGGCTGGTATCTGACTCCACAGAAGCAACAAAAAAACCACTATTATCAATTAGGAATGAAAATAAACCCTCACTCCATTCTGTGGTTGAGAAACTTGACTTCAATTTCTGCCCAGAAACTAGACTTTGTCCGAGAACTAAACAGTCTGTTGGATGATCAAAAGACTGCCAAACAGTCTCATTGTTTCCATCAAACAGCAGAAGATTACCCTGATCAGTTAACTTCAACCCTGAAACAGATTTACCTGCTGTTTTAGTTGACCAAACCAGAGTGCCATTAATATCTTGCAGTGTTAGATCTCCTTGATGGGAAAGTTGCAATTTTGCCCCACCTCCAACAGGATTGTTTCGATTAGCAGACCATATCATTTTTAAATTTGTATGATCGCTGGATTCGAAGTGGAAGATGGAGATAGCAAAGAGGCAAGTGTTGTTTTCTTCTAATTTGCAGTGGAAGCCACAAACAAAATTCCCATTAAAAAAGATGGGTTCCAGTATCAACTCTTCTGATTCCCAACTAGAGTTTGAGATGATGTTAGTCCAAGAGAATGGAGGCTTCACACTTGAACCATGCGCCTTTAGAAACACAGATTGATAGTTATATGAATTCACTCTCTTGAATGAAAAAGCTTCAGATCTTAAAAAGCACCTTCCAGATGATGAGGAATTACTATTATGTTGGAAAACAACATACTTGCAAGAACAGTTCTTTAAACAGGCTTGCTTGCAGCTTTCAATGTCTGTTATGTGATAATTAACTCCGAGAACAGAATCAACATTCTTAAGCTCAATAAGACTGTGTTGGTCAGGAAACTCACATGATATTGGAATATATGGAGAACATGTATAATAAGATTGGGACTGAAAAGACTCTATCTGCTTGAAGTACGATGGGCAACTGCATCCTTCTACCGAACAAATTCCATAATTTCCACATGTCAGTGGATAATCACATTCATGGACTTGGTTCTCAAACAAATCATCCGTTCGCCAATACACTGTTCCATTCCAAGACAATAAGTGCCCATCAGAGCCCAATTGTATAAAACGAACTCCAGATCTTGGAGAAAGACCAATACCGAAACTTGTGTTAGTGAGCTCAGCATAAAACTGCCCCGTTTGGCTACTTAATTGAGACTTGTTGAATTTGTAATACACTATGGTAGCATCGAACTCCGCAGAAGCAACAAAATAACCATTATTATCAATTGAAAATGAATATATACCCTCACTCCAATTTGTGTCAGACATACTTGCCACCAATTTCTGCCCAGAAACTAGTCTCTGTCCGAGAACTAAAGAGTCTGTTGGATGGTCAAAAGATTGCCAAACCATCTGATTGTTTCCATTAAACAGCATGAGGTTACCCTGACCAGTTAACTTCAAACCCGAAGCAGATTTACCTATTGTGTTTGTAGACCAAATCAGAGTGCTATCAACATTTTGCAGTGTTAAATCCCCTTGTTGGGAGAGTTGCAATTGTGCCCCACGTCCAACTGGATTGTTTCGATTAGCCGACCATACGATTTGTGAATCTAAGTGACGGTTGGAAGTGAAATTGAAGATGGAGATAGCAAAGAGGCAGGTGTTGTTTTCTTCAAATTTGCAGTGGAAACCACAAACAAAATCCCCATTGACCAAGATAGGTTTCAGTGTCAACCAGGCTGAGTCCCAACTAGAGTAGTTTGAGACGTTGTTAATCCAAGTGCCTGGAGGCTTCACAATTGATGGATAATCAAAACCTTCACCATTCGTCAGAAGCATTGATGTTACAAACAGAGAGAGAAAGGCAACAGGAAAGAAGACAGTATTCCTTCGCCCACCGACTACCATTGCTCTTATAGTTGATTGCTCGATCTAATTTTAAATAATTGAGCTGCAAGACAAGTTAAATGAATTCATAAGAAACAAAATACAAAGCCGAAAGCACTAGTATGATAGTCTGTAGATTTCATTTTTTCCTTAAATGTAAACTTCGCTTGGCACAGAACTTGCGTATACTTCTAATTGTAAGTCAATTAAAGCTATTTCTTAACTTGCTAAAATGCCAATTGCAACAGCAAGTCATTGTTGCTGGATTTTTCCTCGTAATTAACTCCGTCTTAAGTTCTTATCATTGGAGAAAATGATGCTTAATGTGGCCAACTACCAGGCACCAAGTCCATCTAAAGACTCTCTTCTCAACATCTTATGATAACGGTAGGAGCCTGGAGAGAGAATCATTCTCAACAACCAAGTTCTAATTGTCGATTTATAATTAGGATTATATGGTCACGTGGTTAGTTTCAAACTTCAAATAACATATACATACATATATAATGAAGTGTAGATAAATAGTTGATTCATAATTAAGATTATATGACCATGTTTGGCTTAAGGAATTCAAATTTCTTAGTCATAATATAAAAATAAAGTAAAATTGAGAACCTTATTTGACAAGTTTGAAATAAATAGACGTTAATATCATCATTTTTTATTAAATTAAAAAATTAAAAAAAAAAAACTATTATCATCTCTTCCTTTAAAAGTGATTATTCTGTTCGTTTTTCCTCATCTTAAACAAAATTATCAATTCAAAATCAAACATATCTATATCTCAGCTAATACTAGAAAACTACAGGACAGAAATTTCGTTTTCCTTTGTTATTATATTGGAGGAAATTTTAAGATTAAAAAAAAAAAAAATGAAGAAAGGAAAACTCACCCTTGCAAGTTGCAACAGAGAGACCAAGGCCAAAGTTTCTTCACATCTCCTGCATCCTTGTCGATGGAGACATATGCTAGACCCTTGGCGCACTGCCAACCAAAAGCAAGCGTTTTGTTTTTGCAGAATGTCCATTGAATTCAGCTCTGCAAACTTATAATTCCAAGTCAATTTAAGCAGTCAAGTCAATGCTTTTCAGGGTTATAAGAAAACAGAGCATTTCCTAATTTTTCTCTTCTTCAGTAACATCTGCATCTTCCAAATCAGTTCCTCCAGACCCACCATCTTGCGCGTAAAAATAATAAATTTAGGAATGCAAAAAAGAGGATAATAAGGCTGAGTCCAAATTCATGCTCAGCACAACAGGCCCAAAAGTTCCATTCATAAAACCAAAACTAATAATACGTGCAGCCCAAATCAGATCCTTTATTATAACAAGAGCGTGGAAAATAAGGGTGGGAACAAGCCCAAAACTGTCAAGTTTATGATCAGGTCATCTAAAATTTCTTACCGTAGCATTCAACCCACAAAAATTTGAGAATTCTAAATTCCAGTTTATTCCAATCATTCAACTTCTTACTTATTTGATTACACATACAAAATCAATTATTTTTATTATATTATATACTCCTTCAGTCTTAAAATAATGAATATTTTTTTATAAATATGTTCATGAATAATAGTTGTTTTTA